TTTTATTGATTTTTTACAGAGAGGAAGGGAGAGAGATAGAGAGTTAGAAACATCGATGAGAGAGAAACATCGATCAGCTGCCTCCTGCACACCCCCTACTGGGGATGTGCCCGCAACCCAGGTACATGCCCTTGACCGGAATCGAACCTGGGACCTTTCATTCCGCAGGCCGCTGCTCTATCCACTGAGCCAAACCGGTTTCGGCTCAGGTGAGGATTAACAAAAAAAAAGAGAGAGAGAGAGAGAGCGAGGTCTCACCTGTAATGCTCAAAAAACAGGCCATTTAGCCTTAGGACAGAAATTAGTTAATAAATAACAATAAAGACATGTATACCTGAAACTAATACAATGTGTATCAATTATACCTCAATTTAAAAAACACACAAAAAAACATGTACTGTATAAACACCCCTTCCCACTATTAAGAGAAATTGTAAAATCTAGCATGAACCTGTATTTTGAGATGCCCTCACTGGTAAATAAATTAAGGATACATGTTACATTAGAGTTCTACCAGAACATGAAATCAATTTCTTCTACAGTAAATACAAATTCAGAAAAGGAAGTGCAGAGAAGATGGAGTGAACTAGTTAAAAGTTAAAAGAACAGAATTTATTTCTTCTGATTATTCTAAAAAAGTGTGAAAAGTATAAACTTTATACTGGATTTCTCTTTACCAGTAGCTTATGAAGGATTAATTATTATGGAAATTGCCCTTTAAACATAAACAACTACGAACTGGACATAATATATGAAAGAACTGTTTTTCAGACACTGGACAACTGCAGTAAAGACCTATGATCTCAGAGAGAAACCATCCCAGGGAGTTCTACCTTTGCCAGAGCTCACTGACTGAAGGAAATTTCCAAGCTGCAATGCAGGGTAAGGAAACTCACACAGAGCCCAAGAATGTTGCTGAATTGATGAGCTAGATATTGGAGTTCAGAGAGGCCAAAGAGGTAAGGATCTGAATAGCAAAATACAAAAGAGGAAGGAGCTGCACAGAAACAGAATTCTGGGCATCTGTAGAGGAGTCCCTTGGAATATTTTGCAGAATAGTTATTATCTGCACATGTGGGTTGGAACTCTATGAAGCTAGAGAAAGAACTCTCAGACAGCAGCAAACTGAATGGAGCCCAGACAGAGCTGGGACTAGTTTGTGGTTCTACTAGGGTGAGTAGAAAGCCTTTCTTAATAAAAGGGGTATCTGGTAGAGTTCTGGAAAGCATACTGTTTTGTAATGGGGCTAAGAGGCTATTCTATACACCCCACTGAAGCTTAAAAGCAAGACTCAAAAGGATCAAACTAATCATACGTAACTGAAGAAAGCATAAGAATAACCCTAGCTGGTTTGTCTCAGTGGATAGAGCGTGGGCATGCAGACTGAAGGGTCCCAGGTTCGATTCTGGTCAAGGGCACATGCTCAGTTTGTAAGCTCAATCCCCAGGGGTGGCGTGCTCTATACACCCCACTGAAGCTTAAAAGCAAGACTCAAAAGGATCAAACTAATCATACGTAACTGAAGAAAGCATAAGAATAACCCTAGCTGGTTTGTCTCAGTGGATAGAGCGTGGGCATGCAGACTGAAGGGTCCCAGGTTCGATTCTGGTCAAGGGCACATGCCCAGGTTGTAAGCTCAATCCCCAGGGGTGGCGTGTAGGAGGCAACCGATCAATGTACGTGCCCAGACTGGGAATCAAACCCCCAGCCTTCTGGTGTCCAGGAGGACACTCCAATAACTGAGCCACCCAGCCAGGGCAGTCCAACA